AAGGGGAGACCAACTTTGTATACTGCAGTGGGAGTCAGAGGTTCAAGCTACTCACTTGAGTAGCTTGCTCTTTCTCTGTGGGATCTCACAGAGGGACAACCAACAAGTCCTCATCTCCTCTACCTCCTCCTCCCAAGGCTGCAGGTGGCTGGGTTCAGCCTGCATGCGAACCCGGGCAGCTGCCGGCCTCTCTGGAGAGGGGCTGAGCATAGCCAAACATCATGAGAGAACCTTTTTAGGGGGCAAAATTAGAGGCTCCAACTTTCCTCTTCCTTCTCTGCACCCCTCCCTGCACCACACCACATGTCTGTGATATTTTATTTCAGTCAGCTCAGTTTTATTCCTGAAATCTGCCTCCCTCCCTCTGTCCCAACATTTCATTTCCCTTGGAGTGAGGTAAATAAGTAAATAATGGCAGTCAAAACCCTGTGTGTGTACCAAAGCCTGGAGTGCCAGGAAGCAACTGGTGTGTCTGATTTTCCAGTGAAAGTCCAGGTGCAATCTCGGCAGCGCGGCTACTGTCTGCCTTTCAAGCAGATGTCTTCATCTAAAGCTCCTGCCACCACCCCACTCCCTTTGTGTGTCGGCGCAGGGAGGATGGGAGCGGGAGACAATATAAATTAATATCCATTGGAATGACAGCAGCTGGTGCCTTGCATAGCTGCGAACACGTGTCTTAGAAGTAGAGTGATTAGTCGTAAAACTGTAGAGCTGAATGTTTATGCTTGATCAATTACAGGAAGACAATAGATGGGTTTTTTTCCAAGTGGGAGGAGTGAGGGGAGGGAGGCTTCAGCCGTGAGATGATTTTCTTCTTTTTTTTTGGTAATGATAGCTGTGAAGAACATGGGGCCTAGTTACTGAAGGGACTGGCAAACAACAGCTTCTGGGGAGCCCACTGGTTGCTGGCTCTTGGCAGCACTTCTGAAAAACAAGATCTGTGTGGGGTTTAGACTGCAAGCTTCTTAACATTTAAGAGGGACAGACTCAGCTGCCCAAAGCAAGGAGCATGTGGGAATGAATTAGGCAAAGCTTTCTAGTGCATAAGTGTGCATGCATTATGTGTGGAGGCCTTCAGCTGTAAGAAGTCATTTTGGTTTGTTTCATTACCTAGAACCTCTCCTACTCCCCCAGTTAAGCAGAAGTGGTCCTGTCAGAGGAGCATCCCGCTAGTGGCTGCAGCGTGGCACAAGAGCATGCCTAGGGCTTCAGTTCCAATTCCTTAGCAGCTCTAATTGCAAACACAGCCTGTGTCCCTCCCCACATCTGCCAAAAAAAGAGAAATTGAGTTACATTTTGCAATAATTCTAATGGAAATGCTAATGGGATGAACAGTGATACGAAGCCAGTGAATGACCCAGCAATTTTGTCTGTGCTGGCAACAGATGACCATCTAAACCATGTTCGGGTAATTCTTCCTCTCATTAGCAGCACAATAACTCATACGCACAAATCCATAGGCATTTGCTATAATTTTTTAACATGGCTGGAAATAGAAGTAAGTGCATGGAGTATGCAAGCATTACAGTATGTGTTGGCTGTAAATCTGTCTGGAAGTGGCCTGATCCTGTTCCTGGTTAAACCAGTGGGAATTTTGCCATTGACTTCAATGGAAGCAAGATGGGATTTTTTTGGACCTATTTTAAAGCGGGACTTTGTTTCTTTGGAACAAAGCTTTTAGATTCATAGCTACATTTCGGTACTTGGCTTGAACTCACGTCAATTCACCTTTCATGTGTTTAACAGATGGGGCTTCTCTGCTGCTCTCCTTCTGTTTGGTGTCAGCACTGTAACTGGTCTCTTCTGAGTGACGGCCACCCAGGACCTGGCGCGCGTGGCACCCGTGGCTGTGCTGTGGGACTGAGCCGAGAGAAGGAGGGAGCTCACGTTGCCTTCCCTGGGCACCTTCGGTCCAAATGTGTTAGAGCACTTTGAAGAGAAAGCCACTGCTTCCATATTTTTCAGCACTGGCAAGTGAAAGGCCAAAATGTTTCGTAGAGCACAGAGGAGAGAGGTGAGTGGCAGTGAGGGGCACGGGGCCCTCTGGTCTGCCCAGAATGGGTCTAGTAACTCTGTGTTGTGTCATGTAAAATTCAGGTAATTGCAATCACTATGGCTTTCCTAAACTACCTGTAGCCCTTTGGGATAGCCCTGTATTGTAAGTATTAGGATATACATATATACTTTTAGCTTAAATTTGTAAGGAAGAGACTTGTATATGGTTTATGGCCATGTGTTTCTCTGCTGCTGCCACAGTAACTTTTGAATCATTGGGCAATTTCATCAGAAATGCAGCCTCCTGCAAGGTTTGTGAAAACAGCTGGGGAGATAGGACAGAAGGACCATGTTAGTGCCATCATGACAGGAGAAACCTGAGCTCAACCTTTATTATACACCGATGGATGCAACCACATGCTAAGCACCTCTAGGAAAGCAGCATTCATTTGTCCCATTGCTCACTGAGATAATTGCTTCATTGATATTCATTTTTGGTGGCCACAGTATGACGAATCCAGCTCTTTTTTTCTCTTCAAAGAGTACACTCTCGTGCTGCTCCTTTCTAGCATTGCCCCTACTCCCACCTGGCCTCCTTGCTGGGCACTTTTGGCTCCCCCTTCCCAGCTCTGCCTCTGCCCTGCTCCCTCCAAAGAACCCTGGGCTCTTCTGCCAATTGTCTTCTCACTTTCCAGGGAGACATTTCTTCTACTTCACACTCTGCTAGCAGTGTGTCATCTAAGCCCCCTCTCTCATTACTCACCCAGGGCACCCCGTCTCAGCTGTTTAATGCTTTGCAGCCTGTCCCTCCACCCCCCATCTGAAATTTCCACCACAACAAAAAACTCAGGAATGAGGCAATTAATATGTATTATTTCAATAGGAGGCTTAAAAACAAAAAGCTTTTGCAACAACTTCCCAGTCAGAACCACGGAGACTATTGTAAGGCAGAAAAACCTAAGAAACAGCAGCTGTAAAATATATTTAAAAGCCTTTATTCTTTCCTATCACAATGTGGCAAAAGAGACTAAATACAGCTTTCCATTTGTTTAACTAAAAGCTGCCATTCCTCAGTCTCTTTGATGATAATGATACCCACAGTTACAATCAAACTCCAGCACACACATGGAAAACTTTGAGCTCTGTACCAACTTTGCACAATGTATTATTAATAGCAAGATTCGCAAACCCAAATGCTCTGAGGTGCTGAGAGCAAGGGAAAGCCTGACTGTGCTGGGCTCATGGCTGATGCTGATAAATGTAGCACACCGAGGAGGAAAAAGAAAAACCTGCAACTGAGGATTGTTTGTATTACAGTAGCCACCGGACCCACTGTGCTGTGCATGGGGAGAGACCATTCAGGAGTTCAAAATTGAGCAAGAAGTCAGACAAGGGATGGGAGAGAAAAGGTATTAGCAGTCCCATTTTGCTAACGTGGAAACGAAACACAGTATGGTAAAGGTCGAGTACCGCCCACAGGCTTAGACTGGATTGGGTCCTGGATCACTTGCCTGGCTCAGGAAGACCAAAAGACCCTACCGATTCTCCTAATCTGTGGCCACAAGGCCACAAAACCACCCCTCATTTCAGAGTGCCTGATAGTCGTTATTCTAGTGCATCTCTCTACTTCAGCAAATTCTCGGTGCTAAGCCCTAAGTTGGAACTTCTGAGAAGCACAGCCTGAATTTGTAGAGGGCCACATGCTCCTTATGTCCTGTGAGCACAAGAGTGAAAACTACCTCGCCATACTAGCTGCCCGAAAACGGGCAGCTTCCTGGCTGTTGTTCTGCAGGTCCCAGTTCCCTGGAGGACCATCCAGTGTAGTTATTTGAGGCATGGGCCTCAGTGCCATCCTGTTGATTTTGAAGCAGCCTTAGCACCATTGATTTCCATGAGAAGTTAGTTACACTGAAAAATCAATGGGGTCTGTGTGCAGGATCCTGGGGAGAGAGGGAAGACACCTCTTGGGAAAAAGAGCTACTCTGCAATGATAAGAAAGCAGCCCCGTCCCCAGAGGGAAAGGGTGATGACTGTGACTCAAAATGTTCACAGAAAGGGAAAGGAAGCAGGGTGGAGCTCCTCTGAGATTATGGATTTCTTGTCTAGGAAGCAGCGTAAGTGCAAGGTCTGACTTGAGATGTGCACGTATGTCAACAGGAGGATTACAAAGACAATCTTCAGCCTGATAAATCGAGCAGAGCTGTCTCCAGCAAGATCATAACATCACTATGAAATTTTTAGGAAGGTAAGCATGTTCCTAAGTTCTGTGCCAAACATGCTTTGAAATGTTCTCAAAACACAGGCATATTTGGCTATGATTAAAACACAGCTCAGCCTTGCATCCAGCTATCAGCTGGGACCCTGTAGATCTGTTCCCTCTCCTGTCCTCATCTCTCTTTTACTAGCAGAATATACATGGCTTTTTCTGTTATGAGATTGCTTTTTGGGGGTCACTGACACATGCTTGGTGACGTCAGGTGAGAAGCAGGGGCTCCCTTAGGAATCACTGACTTTCTGGGACATCCTCACCTAAGTGCTCCGTGTTGAAAAACCCATCTCCAAACAACTGGGTATCCAGCAGCATCAGAAGAAAGTTCCTACCTCTGACATTGCACAGGCGTAGTCAAATGGCAATCTCTTCCTCAACAGTTTACAACTTAACTAAATGCAAAAGTAATCCACGGGCTTGTCATCCATGTTGTATCTGGCGCTTGGTTTTCATCTGCTTTGTTTCTTCAGATTGTAAACTGTTTGAGGCAAGAACTGTCTTTGACTCTATGTTTGGACAGTAGAGGCGTCCCAGTCCTTGCAGAGCCAGGTACCGTAATACAAATAAGGCACAATAATTTATTTTAAAATGAACATCAAAGAAAATAAAAGATTAAAAGCAAAAGAAAACCTTTCATAGCTCAAGGCTTCCCCCCATGACAGTGCTCCAGAAGAATGTGCTATCTGCTGGAGGGAGTGTCTAACCCCAGTTGCTGAGAGGGCTGTGCGACGTACCACTATGGGAGCCAACCCGGGAATGCGCCTGGGCACAGGGGGAGAGGAGAGGTCAAAAGCTAAAGCATGATAAGCAAAGGAGAAAGCCCTTTAAAATATACACACTCATTTTCTTGCCAGGATCTATCAAGCCAAAAGCCAAAGCATGGTAATGGCATTTTGTTTATAAGGAAAACGAAATCGCTTCTGGCCTAAGAATTTGTTTGACAAGTTTCAGGCGAGGGGGTTCTAAATGTCTTGTTGCTTTAAGAATTTGTGTATCTTTAAGGAGGTGTTTTAATATGATTGCTGGTGTGGCCCTTTATAACACCGAGCACACAGCCCTGTAAGTACTTACTACAGAGCTTGACACTTACACCGTGGAAGCCAGCTCAGCGGAAGTCAATGGCAGCATTTACAGTTAAAGACGTCATGCTGGCTTTGCAGGGCTCAGCCACTTGGGTCACATCCAGACGTCAGGGAAGTTGATGGATGAACTCGCACCAGCTTCAGCAGACTTTAAACGAGGCCCTTGGTTTGTGACTGTAACTGGGTAAGGGCACAAATGTGCCTTTCTAATTCAGCCTGTGGAAAATTTGCTGTTGGCCCTACCTGGAGCGTGGTCCAGCTGGAGCTTTTCCAGCGTGAAGCTGACCAGGTGGGACCTGCAGAGATCACGGTCAGTGGGCCATTTTGGGTGCCTTTAGCAGATGAACGCACAGAGCTTGGGTCACCCTCGCAGTAGCAAGAGGTTATCTGATTTTTCAAGAGTCTTAACTGCACCCCACGGTTCCAGTGGGGTAAGAAACTCAAGCCCAATTCAAAGCCCTCAGAATTGCCAAGGTCTGTTGGAGGGACAGACAGTGTTTACAGCTCCATGGTCTCCTCTTTGCAGGTACAGAGAAGCTGTGGGAGATTGGCACCTTCCTCCTGAGCTGGGGGCCAGCACCAGTGGCTGTGTGGAGAAGGAGGATACCAAAGCGAAGCGGAAACCAAGCAGGTTATTTGCAGAGATGGGGTCAGAAGGGATGGCTCCCCTCAGGCTTGGGGTTTTGCTGCAGTGGCTTCTGCTGCCGTTAGCAAAGGGCCAGGCCTGTTGGTGTGTTACAGTGGTTCAGGATCTGTCCTCTCCAGCCTGGGTCGCTGTGTGACCCCCTCACCTCCTCCATTTCCCCTTCCAGGTCCATTCACTGTGCCAAACAACAGCATGCAATCATCTTGAGGGGGTTATTTCTGCCTAATGTACCCACCCAGTGGGATTTCAGTGAACATTAAAGCGGTAGATGGAGCCTTTAATGAAGTTAACCTGCTGAAACCAGGAGAGCGTTTGGTTGAAGTACACCTGAAAGCCCTGGATTACACAGCAGCTGCTTCAAAAGAAACCCATTGCCTCCTTTCATACCGCTGCCGTATTGAGAAATAATATAGCACCTTTATATTCAGCCTAATTTAGTCAGCCTGCTGAAGTCTGAAAGCTTTTTTTTATTAACTCTGAAGATGCAGGGGCTTTCCTCCCCCGAGCCGGCACAGCCGACCCCCCCCCACAGGCTGCTGCTCCGAGCAGGCCCCCAGCAGCACGCCTGCGCCTCTCCCGCCGCTGAGCACCTCCCAAGCCACGAGGAATCGCTCTCCCTCTCTCCGCTAATCCGATGATGGATTTTAACTCCATTAGTTTGCTTCCTCTGTTCTCTTCCCTGTTTTCTGCCATTTATTCATTTTCCCCCATCCCCTTGTTCCGTCTCTTTGTTTCTTTCGCCACCTCCCTTCTCTGCTCTTCTCTCCTTTTTCCTCTGGTTTTTTCCTCCCTTCTTTTCATTTCTCCTTTCCAGGCTGCCTCAGCACTCCCCTCGTTTCCCCTGCAGTGGTGTTGTTCCCTGGCTCTCCCTGCAGCCTTCTGCCAGCTCCTGGCACCTCGGCAGAGTGTACTGGCCCAGGGCCCACGGTGGCCGCCTGAGCTTCAGGCCATGCTGCAGCCGGGCAGCGTGAACGCTGGAGTAGGCTCTGCACACCAGCAACGCTCCTCCACGTACGAAATATCTGTGAGCGGGGGCGGGAGGGGAGAAAGCAGCTCCCTGCTGCCCTGCAGTCGGGCTGGCAGCTGGAAAAATGGTGGGGGGACGCATGTTAGGAGGAGGCGAGCAGTAACGGGGTGGGCAGGAGTGGGGTGGGTGGGCAGTAACAGGGTGGGTGAGCGCTGACCTGCCACAGCATCCGCAGAGCCGATGGGGCAGCCTCCAGGCTCACCCGGCAGCCGCCGTTTTCAACCACAGATTAGCAGCCATGGCACTCCCCATGAAAAATTAACTGGGCAGCTTGCTAATTAAGCCACCTCTACACTGGAAGTTTATGGACTTGAATGCAATGTGCCAAACTGCTTTTCCAAGTTGGGGTATTGGCCTGCTTTTTGAATATGGACGAATTCCCGAGCAAATAGTCTGGCTGAAGACTAAGGCTAATGGGATGCTAAGGTAATTATTGGCTATTTGTGGCTATAAAATGAGATCTCGTAATCAAGCACCTGATAGACTAATAAAAACATTTTATACGATGCACTTAGAGCTTTTTAGCTGAGGATCTCAAAGCACTGTCTGGAGGAGGAGAACTGCAGCAAGAAGTCTTCACTCCCACGAGGAGCTGGGAAGAGAAGCCATGCTGTCTGCCCCCCTGCCCCGTGCTCCTGCTCCTCGGGTATCCTGCCAAAAATGTTTGAGTCCCTGCTCTCCTGCTGACTGACAATACTTACGGTTTTATCTAGGCCGGGTATCATTTTTCCCCACTCTCATTCCTAACCCTGTTTCAGTCCTGCCGTGTTGTTTTCTCTGGAAGGCTGTCAAGTTCTGCATTGGAAATAGTGTGTTTTGACATAGAACTGGGGGAAAGACCCTGTTTGTCCAGCTACTCTGGAGCCCAGAAGAGGTTACAGGAATACAAGACGCCTTGGTTTTAATTTTATTTTCTTTTAAATCAGGATTGAGAAAGGCTCTAAGGAAAAGCTGGGGGGTTTCCTGCTTTACAGACACCTCCTGATGGTCAGTTCATGGGTGAGAAGGACTCATTTAGAAAGAGGAAGCTGTGATTGAAAATAAATGAGGCTGTATGGTCAATGTTGAAAAGGAGCTGCAATTAGAGAGAAGAGAAGAGCAGAGCTGAGGAGTGCCAGGGGAAACCCTAGGTACGCGGGCACTCGGGTCGGCAGCAGGGAACTAGGCAGTGTTTGAGGAGGCAAAGGCTTTCTGCTGGAGGGGAGGAGAAAGACGGGGGAAATTTCACTGCATCACAGCTCTGACTAATGCTTGGGCTGCAAAATTCCTTCAACCAAATTTAATGCAGATGGTACGTTAAATATTACAGTACCAATAAATTACATATTGTCTCATTTTCAGTGAGGTTTTGTGGATGTTTCTGACATACAGATATGGAAAAATGCTGCAGTTCCTGATGGGTTTGGCGAGTGCTTACTCGTGGGTTTTAAACACCCACGGGAGGATTGAACGGAGAGCAGAGCCCTGAGCCCTTTGGCAGAAGCGGGACTTCCCTAGCATGGAGAGCTGACGAGGGCCAGCCTTGCGTGGGGCAAGAAGCAACGTGCCCAGCAGCAGCAGCTGCCCCTGGAAACAGGCAGAGGTAAGTCCAAGGTGCATAGCTTCACCTTGTGCTCAGTTCCTTCAAACCTGAGAGAGGATCTGAGTCTTAAATGCTCCCAGAAGAAGTATTTTTGACTCTTGTACCTGAGCTGGCCTGGCAGGTATCACCAGCTTGGTTGTCATCCTGTCCTGAACGCATGCCGTGGTAGAAACTGCAGTAGCGCTGCCTGGTATTTTAGTTGTGCCTTCCCTTTCCTGACAGTGGCATGTTGTGGAGAGGAGACTTGAGATCTGACACTAAACACGGGGCTGGATTTGTGGAGCGCTATTGAAAAGCAGCTGAGATAAACCTCTGTGGAGCAGCAGGTAACTTAATTTCCCATCACCATTTTCTTTCCTAGGGTTATCTTCTCTTCACTCAGTAGCAGATCAGAGCTGATACCAGTTCAAGGTCGTGTTTTCGCTCTTCTATTGACCTTAACCAGGGGAAACTCTGACTGAATGTAATGGGAGGAAAATTGCCCCTGTGCTGTATGGTGTGTGAGATGGGACCGTCTCCGATTAGGGCTTGGTAACCTATTGCTTTTCTATGCACATCTCAAGAGAGGAATGATTCATGCTGTGGGTTTATATTGCGCTCCGATATCTGTGTTATGGTTTGCGAGGGCTGTTTATACACACAAAAAAATCACACTTTGCTAGCTTGATAGTAGGCTAACTATAAGCAAGTAGTAAATAATAGTTGCATAATTCCACATCAAAATACAATAAATAAGGCAATAGACTCAGTTGCCACTGGCTTTGCCTTGACTTCAACAGGTGTCGGAGCACATTTGAGCCACAGAAGATGCAAAATCAGGTATCAAAGCACACGGAAGGAAGAGGGATGCTACAGCTCTTAGGGTAATGGCTGAAATATCAGATCTATCTGTCAGGCCAAATCTGTTGCTGTCAATGAACTTCCACTGGCCTCGGAGGAACTCGGTGCGTTCGTGTGTGTGAATGTGCTCAAACAGGTTGGCATCGTGATTTCACTGACGTGAGCTGGTGATGCTACCCGTAACTGATAGACAGCAGAGTACAAAATAATTAGTCTCATCACCCTAAACGAATACCAGTGAAATGTTCGTACTTTCCCTCTCACCCACACAATGATGTATCTCACTTCTGCCACATGCCAGTATCTCTTCACTAATTACCAATTTAAAAAAACTGAGGTAATGTAGTTTTAATCTCTTTGTCTACTGTAAATTTGGAAGTTGGAATTTATAATCTAGGGACTGATCGACAACATAAAGAATTTGTTTTTAAGAAGCTTTTTGGTGCGGGGTTTTAGAGCTCATTTCGCTTGTGTGCTTTGAAATTTCACCTCTCAGACAGAATGGAGGGGTGAGTTAGCCCCAGTTTGCCAGGTACCAGCTTTCAAGCCTGCTGTGGTCTGTGAACCAGTAGTGAACCAGAAGTGGCCAGTAAAGGCACGGTCCCGGTGGTGCCAGCCCGGGCAGGGACTCCTATCCTTCCCAGGGGCAAAGGGGAACAAACTTCCGAGCCCTCTTAGGGTGACTATGTGAACGCTGCTCTCGGCTTGTGCTTTCAAAGAGCATCTTGGAGAAAACTGGCTGGCAGCGTGGAAGCCAGCCGCGGTGCAGTCCCGGAGAGGTTTTGCATTGGCCCCGTGCGGCCGCCTTTGCACCGCAGCGCGGGTGTCGGCAGCGAGGGAGCGTGTGCCGCCCCCCGCTCCCGCTTCCCGCCCGGGGCCCGGGGCGC